GCATTTAGATTTGTGAACCACTGGCTCACAGAGGGAATATGCTGAAAATCTCTTGCACTGTTGGTAAAGGTTTAGAATTCAGATCCATGTGATTCTTAAGGGTTATTTGAAGTCCTAAATCTAATCTGTTAGTGAAGATACAGGGCTTTATTTTAAAGTGATGCTGTCCTTACCAAGTTAATATTTCTTTTCCTTCATTGACAGGTAAGTGTAGTGGTTGGCAAGAAGACTCTCTTCCTTTTTAATTTGAATGATCCTGATAACCCAATTGATCTGAAATTTCAGCAGCCTTATGGCAGTATTGTAACCTACAAATGGTGAGCAGAACTTTCTCAGTTTAGCATTCAAACTGAAGATTTTTCAAGTAGTTCTGATAAATGCTGGAAATGAAGTCGTATATCCCTTGCTCACAGTGGATTTTTCTTGGGTGTATGATAGCTTTCCTAGTAATTCTTTATATATCCCTTGTTCACAGTGGATTTTTCTTGGTTGTATGATAGCTTTCCTAGTAATTCTTTTCCAAACACAAAGCAAGTCTGCATTTTGTAATTGTTCTACTTGATGATTCAATGGCTGTAAAAGCAGTATTTTCAAATAGATTTTCTGTTGGTATGCTCAGCTTTAGAACACTAAGATGTTGCTGTCCTGGAAGAAGATTAAACTGAGAGGTTTCTAGGTTGTTTTCAGTTTGATTGAGGAGCTGATGAAAGAGCTAGAGGTGGAGCTGTGTCCTTCAGCTAGTTTACAAAGTTGTGCTGAGTTCTTGTTAGCCTCCCTGCTGTGCAGTCCAGTTGGTAATGTTCCTATAAAGAAAACCTTAGCTACAATTTTCAACTCTGTACCAGAAGAGTAGCTATACTGTTTCTGTATCTTTGAATCCTTACAGCTTGTCTTTTGATGCCTGTTCAGTCAATGTGGATTTGACATCCCTTTACACTACAACTGTGTAAGAAAACCTGTGGCTATAATCTTCTTAATTTATGGCCACATGTGTAGCAAGCCATACCTGGGCTGTTTCTCTTGCAATGCTTTTTCTTGCAATTAAGCTGATGTGGATATTGTTTGAAATTGTCCTTACATGCTGTAACTATTTCTGCCTTAACCTCATTATTTCTACTTGATACTATGAAGAGTAAACAAACTATTCACAAATACAGATTGTAGCTTTGGTACTTCCACTGTGTTTGCAGTGTCTTTAAGGGCATGGTGACTGGAATTACTGTTGTTACATGGCTTTGATGGGGCCAAATCTTGTAGTATGCTTATTCTGATGAAAGTACCACAAATCTTTCTCCTGGCATCACTGCCATGTATGCAGTTTGCTGAAAATAAAGTGGCATTATAGAATGTAGGAGACAACAAAGATGACTTATCAGTGAACCCTGGGCACAAACATGGTTCTGTTCTTCAAAAACTTTTGGTAGTTATTCCCTTAACATATTTTATACTATATTGTTCTACATTATACATAAAAATTCACAGATTTTTTTTATTTTTCCTGTTAAAAGGAGGCATTGACAAATACCTCAGTAGTCTGAAAGGAAATGTATTTTGTGTATTGCATTAGTAGATCTCTTTTCTCACTTGTTTGGGGTTTTTTTGTAACAGGTATGGTGATGGCTACATCATGATTGGTTTCTCACGAGGGCGTTTTGTAGTCATTTCTACACACATTCGTGAGATAGGGCAAGAAATCTTTCAAGCTCATAATCATAAGGATAATCTGAGCAGCATTGCTATCTCACAGTCATTAAACAAAGCTGCATCATGTGGAGACAATTGGTAAGTGGTAGTTTTATGCATAAACATAGAATCCATCTCCCATAGCTGTAGGTATTGGGCATTAAAGCTGTGATTTCCTAAGAAGTGAGTGCAGAGAAGGTGAGATGAATTGCTCTGTGGAACTGCTGCTCTGCCTAGAGTTAGGAGATGCTAATATTGATGGAAATATCTGCCATTATGGTTAAATTTATTTTAATTAATTATAAACAAAAAATTAAGCATGACTATAAATTATTCTTTTTTATTCTTTTTTTTTTCTGTTATCTTGCTTGGCTACAGAAAAGTCCAAATTTCTTTCTTATGATTTATTGATTGAACATAAACATCTGTTTAACCATAGGAGAACAATTAATTTAAAGCTGTTCTGAATGTGCTGGTATCCTGATAATCCTGCTCCCTGGTGTTTGGCCTTCCCTGCAGTCTGGACAAAAGACTAAAAGTGCAACCAATTAAGGAAAAAAATAATTAGAGAGGCTGGAGTTTTTCCAGAATGTGTTGTGCATATGGCAGAACAGCTCCTTTAGCCCCTCATCTGCTACTCAGTGATGCTGTGACACCTGAATCCCTCAGCAAAAAGGAGCTGAGTGTGGTAGGAGTCAGGCTGTCTGTCCTCAGCTCTGGGTAGGACCAACTGCTGATTAGTGACACTTACACATCAAGAGTGATGGAACTCTGAGCAAAACATGGTGCAACTTTTGCACTTCAGCTCTTGTACAATAAGTGTTATTTCTCTAACAGGCTGTTTAATGTATGTTGAGTGACCTGACAGCATAAGTAAACTCTCCCTTTTTATTGAAAGCTATTTTTGCATCTGTGTTTCAAGCACTGTTTGTCCATCAGTTATGTGTTTTTAAATTGACATGTACTGTAATAGGTCAAAAGAGAATAACAGTCCATGTTTCCCACCCCTGAGTTCTTTCAAATTGTATTTGTACCTTTTCCTCAAATTTTAGTTCTCTGAGCAGATATTTTTGTACAGTGACACACTGACACAGTATTTAGGGTGATGGAGAACAATTAATGTGTGATGCTTATTAAGAAATGGAAGGCATTTTATATTTGTGCTCTACTTTGTGTTCAACTAGGCTGTCTTGATTGGATTGCATTTCTTCCAGTTTATGATGACTGTGATTTAGATGGGTGAGAATAACTGTGTATTTTTGTTTTAGCATTAAAATCCACGATCTGACAGACCTGAAACAAATGTATGCCATAATAAACTTGGATGATGAAAACAAAGGTATGTTAACAGTCTCCATGAGGATAGAAATTTTTACAAATTAAGTACACTAGAATTTTGATGGTGTCTCTCTTTACATGAGTGAAAGTACCATTGTTGGAAAAACTGTGTAAATGTAGAATTTATCAGAAAATCCTTCTTTCCCAACTTGTGTTTATTAGGTGACCCAGAGCAAAATGGGAACGTTTTATCTGTCAAAGTGTAGAGAAGTACAGCTCTCAGAATATTTGATCAGTTAGTGTTGTGCAGGTTTGAATCTGTAATACTCTACGTTCAGATTATAAAACTAATATACTTAACTGTGTTCTGTTTATTTCCATGATTTTTTGGTGTGTTTTTTTTTCTTGTATGTGTTTTTCAGCATCATTTGTACTGACATATGTTATTTGATTTGTTTTTGTCCTGGTGTACAAAATTTGTGCCTGTGGCTTCCAGACCAGTGTTACAAAACTATGTTCTTGGGTAATGAGTTACCATCATTATCTCTTCATAAGTGTTAATATTTCAGTTATGTCAAGTCACTGGTTGCCTCCAGCATTTTATTTCTGAGAGCCTTCCCTTTTCTTACACTTTCTTTTGGAGAAATCAGCACATTTTCCCCCTCTCTCCCTTGGAATGTTGATACTAGTCAGTTAGAGTAGGATCTTTCTAATGGCATTTTCACATACTGAGAGCCAAACACCATTTCTGTGTTTAATACTTTCTCATTTGGCAATAAGGGAAATCAGAGTAAATTCTGCTCAGCTGCTTCCAGTATTCTGGTTCACTTTGAATGTGCTGACTAAACTTCTGTGGCAGAAAAGAGGGAGAGAGGTGATAAGTTTTTTAACAGATATGCAGTTGGTCTGGGTGTACCTTGGTGCTCTTTAAGGTCCTTTCCAACCCAAACTGTTCAGTGATTCTGTAAAGTTTTCACTCAAGAAAATGCTAAATTAATAAATTATGGGTTTGGTTTGAGTGATTCCAGTTAATCTTGGAATTACATTAATTGGTTATGTTTGAGTACATTAGTAGATACTTTTATTTAAAAACAGTCCTAGGTATGAATTCCTACCATTTTCACATTTTGAAGCCTAATAATTGTTTCTTGGTTTTGGTAGTTAATGAAAAGATTTTTGTTGTGAATGTTTCAGGTGCAGATCAGATGGCTTGGACAGATGATGGGCAGTTGTTGGCAGTATCTACACGAAGAGGATCCCTCCATATTTTCTTGACAAAGCTTCCAATCCTTGGAGGTTCTTGTGGTACACGGATTGCATACCTCACCTCTCTTCTGGAAGTTACCATAGCCAATCATGTGGAGAGAGTATGATCACCCTTCCTTTTAAACTTCATGTAGATGTAAGCAAAGTAAGTATTAAAAGTGGATGAAAACTGTATTATTTTGTTTTGTTTTCTTACAGGAGCCACCAGTCACAGTCTCTGTTGAAGTAGAGCCCAGTTTTGTTGCTATTGGTGTTTCTCATTTGGCTGTAGGAATGAACAATCGAGCTTGGTTTTATGCACTTGGAGAGAATAGTAAGCATAAATTCAGTTCTCTTAAAACTAATGCAGCACTGTGTCTTGTTATATTAATTTGGTATTGTAAATAATAGAGATAAAACTAAATTCTCAGTGTGGTGGATGTTCATGTTGTTTGTGTGGGATAAGGTAGAATTGGTTATGCTGTGTCCAAATTTTAGATAGTGGATTTAAAGGTTTCCTATGTCTCTTCAGCATCACCTCTTTCACTAATGATAAATTAATCAAAACTGTAAGAGCACTAGTCAGAGTTGCATAGGAAAAGAGTTTCTCTTGTACTTTCTGACCAGTTCTGACTGCTAAGAAGAAAGTCTCTTTACATGTGACTTGTCCCCTCTCTGCTTAGTTGAGTCTTTCACATTTGCTTGGCCAGCTGCAAATTTAAGTGATGGTAAATGAAGACCTATACAAAATCAAAATATTTTAACCTTTTCTTTTCTGTTTGGATCCTTTAGATGTAAAAAAGCTTAAAGATGTGGAGTACCTGGGGACAGTAGCAAGTATGCACCTTAATTCTGATTATGCTGCTGCTCTCTTTGAGGGTAAAGTCCAGTTGCACATGGTAAGATCTCTGGCAATTTGGAGTGCTGAACTAATGACTTGATCTAAGCTGAACAGGTTAATGAGATCAAATGGAATGATCTTCAGATAATGGAGATAAAAATGAAAAAATCTTCAGAATTGTTTTGCTGGCTAATTAAAATATAAAGCTGATTTTCTGTAGACTTGAGGAAAGTAACCTAGCCTAGAACAGGTGAAGAAAAATATTTCCTTGTCACCTACTATTATTTAACAAGTTCTATTTTAAAGGTCTCTGGGAATGTGACAGAGGCAGATGTTGGGTTTTTTTAAGGGCTGCACATGCAAGTTTGTTTTCATCTCGTTTTCTTAGAGTTTGATGTAGGCAAAACTATGATAGCTTGTTGTTAACAGTGGAGTTTTTCAGTTCATTCTGTTCTTTATGTTTAGATAGCAAGTGAAGGTTCAGGTGCTCGGGAAGAACGAGAAACTCGACTTTTCCCAGCAGATGATGATAAATACAGAATTTTGTGCCATGCTTTAACGAGTGACTTCCTCATATATGGTACAGATGTGAGTATCACTTCTGTTTTTAAAGATCTTTTTAGATGGAATATATGTCTATCTGAATTATTTGAATTGCCACTCATACTTTAAGCAAAAAAAAAAAAAGCATCTGTGAACTTTGGAGTGGATTATTTTCTATGCAAGAGCTTTAAGCAAATACAGTCAATAAAAAAAAAAACTTCCTTTGCTGTTGCATTTATATGATATGCATTGACAGGAAGGTTAGGTTTTGCTTTTACTCATGTTTGTTGCAAAACACTGATTTTAATAGCAGAATCAGTTTGGCTGCTTTTCTCCCCTGAACTAGGTACATCTCTTCTTAGGAATGTGTGGTTCTTCCTGGGAGGCAAAATTTTCAGCTTTATCTAAGGTTAAGCTTAGTGAGATAAATATCAAACCAATAGAAAACCCCACAAACCTTCCAACTCCTTTCTCTATCCCCAAAACACCTTCTAGTTTTCCTATCCTGCCCCAAACCAGCTGTGAATGAAGAAGGAAGAAAAAAAAACCCACTTGGAAGTAGTTTTATTGAAACACTCGGTACTCAGAGTCCAACCAAGTTAATTATCTGCTTGCCTTTATTAACATTTTCTGTTATTTCTCATTAGACTGGAGTTATTCGTTATTTCTATGTTGAAGATTGGCAATATGTGAATGAATATCGACATCCTGTCAGTGTGAGAAAGATTTTTCCAGATCCCAATGGAACCAGAATTGCTTTCATAGATGACAAGAGTGATGGCTTTGTCTATTGTCCAGTAAGTTAGTGTGGGATACCCAGACTATTGTATTTACAAACAGGCTCTTCAACTATATAGTGTTTTTAGCAGAGAATCAAGATTTTGTCACTCCAGCATGAATGCTGAGAGAAGAAATGGGCAAGGAGGCTTGAAGATAACTTAATGATAACGTAAGGAAATAAAATCTGTCATACTAGATCAGAACAACTTCATTAGACTAAGTTTCTGATCAGTAATTTTCAAACATGTCTGTGTTTGTGTATTAAAATACAGATAATTTATCCCATTAAGAGGCACTGCCAGTTTCACTGCCTCTCCACATACCTTTTTTTAGGAATAGCAAATATCATGTATATAAGGTGCATTTTCTCCACTGAATTAAGCTCTTGTGTGATTCAGAGTCACTGCTTATAACAAAACTCTTTCTTAATACAGTTTTCATATTTCTGCACTGTTTATGTGGTTTAATTTTTTAATCTTAACTGGAAATAATATAGTTTATCTCCTTAGTCTCTTGGTAGTAATTTTATTTTTGCATTACCTGTAGGTAAATGATAGTGTGTATGAGATTCCAGGCTTCTCACCAACTATTAAAGGAATCCTGTGGGAAAACTGGCCAATGGATAAAGGTGTTTTTGTTGCTTTTGATGATGATAAGGTGTACACTTATGTTTTTCATAAGGATGCCATTCAAGGTACTGTGAGTTCTTTAAAAAAGTTATTCACTAGTTGAGTTAATAAAGTAAAACATGTTCTGAGTCTTCATTTGTCTTAAGTGCATAGCAAAACAAATAGTACTGTAGAAGTCTCCAAGTGTAACTGATGAGTAGAAAACTAGGTGCCTTGTAGGTTTCTCTTAGTTTCTTAACTCCCTAAGCTTCTTGCTATTATCCTATTTCTTCTGAAAGTTACACATTGTGCTTCAATTGTATTGTGAAATGTTGATGAGAAAGATACTAGGACCAGGGTGACAAAATTTGTATTTATTTACAGAGTTAACCAAAATTCTAATCATAGCAATTTCTGTATTTGTGATAGAGAAACAGTAAGAAATTTACCTACAACTATTTGGAAAAGGACCTTACTGGTTTAGAAGATTTAAGTTCTGTATGTTTAATTTACTGAAAAATATGTGTTGGTCACTGCCAGAATTGGAGAGCTTGAATTAATGCCCTGCAAATTCACTTAGTTTCAGCTATGACTACTTGCTGCACTTTTTACCATATTGGGATTTTTACATGATGTCTTCTCTTCTTTCTGATCTTTGAATCTAGGATCAAAGGTTATTTTGGCAGGTGGCACAGAAGTTCCCTATTCCCATAAACCTTTGTTGTTGTATAATGGAGAATTAACTTGTCAGACTCAGAGTGGGAAAACAAACAACATCAATCTAAGCACTCACAGTTTCCTTGGCAATTTGAAAGACTTTGGACCTAATGAGCTGACACAAATGCTTACTCAGACTCTAATGCTGAAAAGGTACATGTGCATTTTAAATATATTGTGTAAATTGGTTTATTTCTGTGCTTATAGCTCAGTACAGCATATCCTGGTGATTTAAAAATGTCC